CCTGTGCTATTCGTGCTACAAATGGTTTCGGCGCAGTTCGGCGGAGGAGGGGCATATTGCACATTTCTTGTGCCCCATTGTCGTATTGTGAGCCATCAAGTGGAGCTTTGTGGAATATGTATTGTGAAGCCATGAACTGGTATCAATATATCGACAATGGGTAGCACGGAAGTGCAATCTGCTCCCCCCCCCCGACCCCCATCTTGCCGAAATGGGTTTCTCCTGGGAAATGGCAGACCATTCAACCTATCCCGTGTTTCACTCAAAGGAACCCGTACATGAAAATAGACAAGATTTCACGGTTCCGACTCCATTGTTGCTGGCCAATGTAAAAAGGTTTTGAATGCATGGGGGATTCCGGAAAATTCCTTAATACGCGCTACTTTCCACAAAATTGGTGTTCGTACGGTTGATGACCTTACGACTTAGAATCATGCTACTTTCAATAGACGTGACCAGATGTAAAATTTCTACATTTTATCAGTTTCGAATCGTTGCCCATTCAGGATTAAGTCATTTTTCTGTTTGAAGACTTCTTTATGATAGCAGGACCTGCCCGTGGTCGACTGTAAGCTCTCTAGTACTCTAGTGATATTTCTCTGTTTAACCGAAAGTGCACCCTCGATTTCTCAGCTATCGCGAAAAAATGAGTGGCGTGACACTAACCTTTTTAGTTTTATCTCCACAACTTCAATGTTACTTTGAATAAAATAGAACTGACCGACTCCAAAGCGGAAACCGGAGAAGTGGACCCTTTCAATGGTCACGTCGCCTTTCAGTCCAAGGGCTTGTACGGACTCCATAGGGTATCGATGGGGGTACTGTGCCAGTGGACAGCCGTTTAACTCAATCTGAATACAGATTTAAAATCCATAGGGCCCGCATCTCTTGTAAAAAAAACTATTCCATTGACATCAAAAGCACATGTCGTGATTAAAGGAGCGCCTGATCGTCGCATAAAGAAGGTAATTTTGTGGTTAGTCCCCAATCGCGATTGATGTGCTCTTTAAAGGCAGGAAGCGAGCAAGAAGCAGGGCGTAAGCTCACCCTTCACGGACATGAACTTCAAAGGCATATGGCACGGATAATTTGGTACTCGGTCTGGAATGCTAGCAGGGTGCTGTATAGTAGGAAAATGGCGAAAAAACGAAGTGAAACGGTCAAAAACCTGCGAAGAAAAGCCTTCGTTCTCATGACTCAGAAAGCAATTTCGGACGAGTTTCCCGTAGGCATCTTGCCAATAACCGCTACGGTAGGTACGGCTGTACTCATATATCCATGCAGCACCGCAGCCGCTTCATATCAATCCCTTCGCTTCATATTTTACTTAGCAATGAAGCAATACGAGCATCAGGTACGGTCGTCCATTTGTGGGCGGGCGGGCGCGCAGTGGGCGTTCGGGTCGGAATGCTGCAGCTTGTTAAGGCGGTATGAGGGTACCTTTCTTAAGAAGCTGCTACGCAGCGCCTGCTCAGGGGGGAGGGCGAAATTCCGTCCTCCCAGCCGTATTAATACTACTCGTCTTAGGGATTTATCGTGCCATTTGCCATTGAGCTTATTCTCAGTCGTGACCGGGGCGACTGGAAAAGGCAATCGGGCCGAGGTGCGTGACATCCGCATCCAGTACTGCGCCAAAAAACGATCGGCCAGCAAGAGGGTTGCGCAAAGGCCGCGGGGCGTTGACCTACCAGGAAGTTCAGAAAGCTTCAACAATAAGACTGCTAGGTGGGGTCTCTATTCAATGCCCCACAAATGATCCCCTTTTACTTCTTCCTTACTGCAGAGCAGCTTGGCGACTACAGGTCTATACCTGTATACCATTCCCCACAAAGTACAACCGCGAGACGTTGCGCTAAAAGGCAACCCACATTTCATATTCCGGATATCACGAACCTATAGAAAAAAAGAAAACACATTTCATAAAGTGAACTTGTGACAGGATATAACTCTTAGGTTTTGGTGGGCGAGACAACTAGGGAGGCGTCAGAACTGCCAATTGTGAGGACCGCGGCGCCTTGGCTATTTATTGTGAAATGGCAAAAATGGGACAGTTTTAGGGGAACCGACCAGACTACTTGAATGATGAGGGACGGCTGCGGACTAGTTGAGCGCGGGGACTGCCTTTATCCCCGTTGTCTGCCTGCGAGCTGAAACCAGAAAGGAAAAAGGAAATCTTAGGAAAGCCATGACTATGAAAAATTGAAGGGAAAAATTGCCATTTTACCTCGAAGTATAGTACGTGAGCGCAGATGCAAAGATGAAATGGATCGTCATGGTGGAGGGGATTATGGTGTTCGATCTAGAGCCATTACAATTAGATTCGCAGTAAAATATGCAATAATGAGAGGAAACATGCCTCAACTCCCCACGATCCGTAATTACACGAGTTCATCACCACTTTGTGCTCATGGTGGAATCGGAAGTTGATGTGAAGAACGATATGTGGTCCAGACAAGAGCTCAACGGCAAAATTTCTGAATCGTGGCTCACAAATTCTGGAAGCAGTTAGTAATATTCCGAAGAAAAAATTCACTTAAAATGTCCGTGGTTGACCTTGCCAAAGACGTTAATTTGGCAGCCGGCACGAAGCGTCTCATAGATGGGAACAGCACTTGGAACCGCCTAAAAATGGGGATACTAAAATCAAGGTCCGACCTAAAGTGAGAAAGAAAGTCTTACTGGATGGTATATGTTGTGCATACTGACGCCAACAACTGCTTCAGCCTCCTACACAGAAGTGCTCGAGCCCTCTGATTTTATACGCCCATAATCGCTTTGTCATCGCTCCATGGATCGTTATCGCCCGTCGGCTCGATTTTTTTGTACTAAGTATTGCTCATGCAAGGAGAACCCTCTGATTGCACGAGTGCCAAATATTTGGTCAACGTCTTTTGAAACCTCTACGAGAAAGTACAATTCAGACGGCTGTTCGTTTCGTTATACTAGGGCCCGAGGAGAGTTGAGAACTATTTGAGGATGGAATTCAAGCACTCTGTTCCTTCAACACTGAAGGCGCACCCTTCCTTCAGATTCCTTCCTTTTCTCTAGTCGGCTTCTTTTGCGATTACTAGTTTTCCATGTGCAGGACATTTTTAGTACAAACAAAAAGTGTAGTTAGAGGCTACTATCGCTACTTTACTAACTGAGTGTGAGTTAATCCCTGTAATCAAGTATGTTAAAGAAAGCTCTAGTACTCACACCTATCACTAAACTAAAAGACACATTCCTCTCTCATCTGATAGGTGAGATCTCTTCGTCATACAAGTAGTCCAGTCCGCACTGGCAGACTATGTGCCACTTTCAGAACCGGACAGGGGATGAGGAGGCCTTCACCTGCCGCAAAAACGCCACCTATAGGGAATGCTCCACCCATTTAGGAGTGAGGTGGGGCAACGGTTTACGTCTATAATTCAGATTTTGTGCGTTGTTTTCATCCTTCCTGTTCTACCATTCCTTGTTTCTGGCTTATCGCCCACGCATCAATATCTTGCTCCTTTGAATGCTCTTCCACGCGGAGTTTCATTTCGGCTGCATTCAATTCTGCGGCAATCTACCAGCGTCCACCGGCGTCTGCCAGCAACCTCGGCGTTTCGAGGGGCTAGGAAATTATGGATATTGATCTAGCGTCTACTAGCGTCCCCTAGCGACCAGGTATAGAGAGTATGGGGTAGAAAGAGTATAGAAAGAGGGTAGCAAGCTACTTGATACAATATGGGGAATTAGGAGGGAGGAGACGGCTGGATTAGGAGTTGTGAATTCGTAGCGTGTGCCACAACACCGTATTTCTGGTCACTGGTGGAGGCTTCCTTCGCTAGGACGATACCTATACCTGCTCAGTCGCTCACGCTGACGTACGCTCGAAACGCTGACGGTTGATGGAGGACGCTGCCTCAAAAAGTGAACACAGCCTCAGAGAGCCTTAGGAGGCTCTCTCCACTCCTCTCTCCACTGGTAAGCCATGTAGCACCAAAGAGTTGACATTTGGACCTCCACAGTCAGCAAGGATGAGTGCGATATACCTGTTCCTTCACCGTTTTGAAGTAACATGATAATTTTTGAAATCTTTGAAAGGTCGAAGCTCAGGGGTAGAATCACAAAGCCATCTTTTTACTATAATTGAGTGAAAATTGTCTTCCACTCCGTTTGACGTTAATTCAACTTGTAGTGAAAAAGCAGAACATTAGAAGCTACCACCAGCAGGTGCTAAGTAGGTAGAGGACAATGTCCTTTCATTTTTAGAATCACTCAGTGGCATTTAATTTTTCACGTTTCGTAAGGGGTCATTATCAGGGATTTGTTCTAAAAGACCCACTGATAAAAGGGACTGTTGTCGAAAGCATGTCATTCCTAAATTTTCGACCTTTTCAGTAATCCGATAAGCTAGAAACTAAGAAATAGAATAAATAGGCGTGCATTAGGCGAGGATGAAGTTCTCTTTTGTTTTTGTTTTTGTTGTTTTTGTTGTTCAGTGGTCTACTTGGTGATGGAAGCTACATTATGTGATAAAAGCGATATCGAAAGAGTTATTATCGGAAAAAGTGCTCAAGACAGCGCGACCAAGGGGACCTGGATTGACATTTTCCTAAAAATTTCTCAATTCTTGCGGAAGAACCACGAAACCACGGGTGATCCAGGGAGGCGACATCTTCCAGTTTTCAGTTCATTGGTTGTTTGAAATCAACTGCAGGAGGCGAAGTGCAACGGTACGTTGATGAGCGGGGAAGGGAAAACAGAGAGTGCTGAGCAAGAGAACCCAACGGCATTTTCATGGGGGTATGGAGCGGTACTCCCCAATCGCGGCATCACAGTACGAGTTGACCTGGGAAATAGAGTCGACGCGCGACGCGGCTGAATTATTTACTTGGCCGTAAAGGCTGGTTGAGTCCCCCAACCTTCAGAGCCTGTTTCGTCATACTTGTCATGGTTGGAGAATCATTATCATGGCGACTCGATTAGCTTTCTCTGGCTAGGCCTTGTTGGGCCTGGGAGATACGTTCGCAGCCTGCTCCTCGCCTATTCCGATTCTACGAAGGCACGTCCTCACCTCTTGCAGACCCAGTTTTCCGGGCAAGCCTATGTGCTTTTTGATCCGGCAAGGTTACACAAAGTCAACACATGATCTATGCGTTTCGTTCAGGTACCAAAGCATTAGAATCCACCAGAGTACTGTCTTGATCCATGGTTGGGTTTTAACCTATCGCACTGATGATGCTCGGGGGTTGGCTAGACAATGATGATTCGTCTGCGATACCGAGCGAAACGGATCATCTGTGTTGTGGAGTGTATTCCTTTCCCATGTTTGTTTTTCTTTGCTTCTAATTTAACCACCATCCCATGCATATTCTCGATTTCAAGGTGCACTGAACACATCAGATACGCAACAGATTCTAATGAAGGACTTCAGGACTACAAATGCTCTCAAAAAACAGCACATGCCGCTGGTAGGACTCTCACGCGTGTAGATGAGAGGGTCCGCTCCTTGAGCAAAGTGTGCCACTTCATCTTTCAAGAGTACTAAAATGGCGCCAGGTAGGGCGTAACTTGCCACTGAGAAGACTAGTCGCCCTCAATAAGCCCCCAAAGCCCCTCTCCCTATCTCAGGTTTGAGTGCGCAGCGCGTATCTGTGTCGAATTCGTCGCTAGAGGAGTCATGACAGAGTAACTAACTTTATATGAAATTGCTTCAACTAAAAGTTACGCTTATCTAAACTCATCTAGCTCAGAGGATTGTGTTTAGGTCCATATTTCCATGAATGCCGCCATGATTATGGTAGGAAATCGGGTACATGGCGTAACGTGGGCTGGAGGGCTGGCCGGCCAATCCTTCGAGACGGAATACATGACCCATAACCTCGGCAGTACCCCTCATTCATTGAAACTTCCGGTTTGTGGTATGAGCCTGCAACGGGAAAAGTATTGAGAAACCTGTGCAGAAGGGCCAAAAATACATTTTTAAAGCTCTTTCTATGGTCCGAAGAGTACGAAAGCCACTGAGAAGCGACCAATCATACGGGCGACCCACAAAAGCAGTCATCCCGTACGCGTGAGGCACGGTTTAGAATCCTTGGGGACAAGTTCTTTGCTCATAACCTTTATACGATATCCCTTTATATGGTACAGTGGATGTCGATAACACCCTCACTATCCTGAACGACGAGGTAATGAGGTCAGCTCCCGCTCACATCTGAAGTAAACGCAAACTAGTGAAACTTTGAAAAATTTATTCAGGTACAACGTCAATGGTAACTGCAATCAATTTGCTTTAGAATTCGTTCGGAACAGCTCGTGCAATGAAGGAGTGCTCCTGCTTCTCGGGGCGTTTTCTGAAAGAGCAGTTTTCAACTCGACCTCTCCATGACATCTACAAAAACTAATGAAATTTGGAGATCCGATTCTGGATAGAATTCTGTCACCTTCCGGAGCACAGTAAACAGCAAGTCCTCAAAAAATATATAAAATGAATCATCACGTAGATTATCTTGCACATTTCTTGATAAAGTCGTCTATGTGTGTATAAATGAGTCACTGATTGACGTACGGAACCTGTGGAGGAGAAAAACCGCCCAGGTTCACCGATGACCCGTGACAGAAGATGAAGGGTAAGAAGGCAGTGTAAAAAGAAGGTGCAAAAGAGGAAACAGAAAAGATAGGAAATGTAAGAGGACGCACAAACAAAAGGCCAAAGATCACGGTTCCTCAGGGCCTTTTCCGGAAGTGTTGAGCGCTTTCAGTGCTGACCCATATCTGGTAACAGTGAAAGTCCTGGCGTTGTAAAAAAATTTGACTAGATAGGACCCTCTCCTGATTTCCTTCTCCATCCCATCTCATGACGCCACTACCCACCCATCATCTCACGGGAGTTTCTCAAAAATTCGCAGAGAAGAATGGGTGCGTGAATCCTGTCATTGGCTATCAGCAATAGTATACTAGTTTTGTGGCAAGAAATATTAGTTTTGCAGCGACACCGACTAGCTGGGCGGGGTGGGTAGGACTCAAGAGGGAGGGAGGGAGGGGGGTTAATGCGTGATTAACAGATAAAACCATGAATAAGAAGGGTTTCTTAAAGGCGGAAGCCGCGATTATTCGCCATCTCAAATAGTGGATTCTCAAAAGGGGGGTTCCATATAGACGACAAGGGGTTGAGTAACTCGACAGTGAAGAAAAAAAAAGCACAAAAAATGCCACCTGCCCTAGATAGAACCCCATTTTGATCCCAGTTTGTACGTGCCCAATTAACTCTATCTCCCACACTACGCCCTCATACGCACGGCTGATTCACCGATAAGAGCTCTACGATCGTACAAGTGACGATTTTCATCCGGTTGAAGCAGAAGTATGAAGGGTTTTTTCTAGACATTTCCAGCTCGAAGGAAACGGTATTTAGTTATTTATTTGCTTTATTATATACTCTCCTGGGTGCGCTTCATTTCTTGATACCATAAAATTAGGTCGAAACCTAAACAACAGAAAAGGCAATGAAAAGAAAAAACTACAATATATATCAGCAGCTATTAAAACTCTGAAAAAACATTTGGTCCGATAAAAATTTAATAAAGTGTAACTTATAGCGCCTTGAAAGTCATGGAGGCAAAATGACTTTTTTTTGCCCCCCCCCTGTATAGTGAAACCCTTATTGTTCGGAAAAAAACCCTAATTATTGCACTCTATTTCTACCCTGATTGTTTGAAAAAGGCGAGAAAAACGCTAGCCGCGTTTTCCCCTTTTTTCTCAATGACTCAGTTCCTGTTTACTCTTCTAATATGGACACTAGGAACTTATAAAGTTGGATTCAGCTCGTCGAGTTCTATACGAAGATGTTCTAGAAAGCTTAAGTAGTTTAATTCTGTAGACTACAGGGAACCACTCATTAACGAGGGAGCCGCGCTATAATTGGAACCAGAAGGCAATCGTCGGTAATCAAGCAGTCAATGATTGAATGATTTAATTGTTCGGTTTATTAGAAATGATTGGCGAGCTGATAGTTGTGCCTTCCAGATGAGGTTAATCATGACGGTGAACCGTGTAAAGTTGACTTTCGAGTTGGTATTTAAGTTGTATACCTACCGCAGATCGAGATCGGGTGGTCGAGGTTGCTCGGCAATCCATCCGTCGATTGATGTTCTGGGTTCCGTTCTATAAGAGTACAGTGAACATTCAACCTTTTTACAGTATTACTATATGCCTCAACAAAAGCTCCGCAAGCTTTGAGAAGAACCAGTTAACAATGCTCTCTACTGTGGAATTAAAGAGAAACCCCGCGCTCGAGCAACTCGTGGGGGCCCTTTCTTGTACAAGCGGTCTGGCACTCGATCTCTAAGACCGTCCCACATTCGCGGCCTCACAGTAAGACAAGAAGGCGCTGTGGCCCTCATAAGTGGCATTTCTGACGCCTCCCCAGTTGTCTCCGCCCACCGAAACTCAAAGGCTATTTTCTGTCACGAGTTCAGTTTTGCACCAGTTTCCCCTTATTTTTTTCGTTGTTCAATGGTTAAAGGTGGCAGGATATATAGTTTGTAACATTGCAATTTGTCGGGGCGGGAGCGCAGCGCGGCACGAGCTCGCGTCCGGCCGCCTTGCTCTACCAATGGTGATCGAGCAATGATCGATGTAGGAAGGAATCAGCCACTGGTGGGAAGGCCGCAGGTGGGAACCGCTGATTGCGACCCGACAATTCGCCGTGATATAAACTATAGCTTCGCCGGTATAAAACGAACAGGTCCGCAGAGCTCGTCCAGAGAAACTACCAGGTCTTTACGTACGGTGCTTGCCACGGTTTTTCCCACGTTGTTCTTCCCTGGAGGGTGATTTGGCTACTATACATCTCTAAAAGTAATTATTCACAATATGCAATCGCGGGGTTCGTCGTTGAGGCAGAATGAGCGCTAAGTACAGTGTGCACTGGATCTAAGCCTGTCTGCCTCAAACAAAGATGGTTTGTTTCGCCCTATCCCATACCAACCAGACTTCGAGTTCGTACACGTTCTGTTGGGGTACCCGACTAACTCAGGGGACAAGATGTACCATCATTCTAGAATCTACAACGCAAATGGATTAGCCGAATTCGTTCGCTGAGCAGGACGGACTTTGCATTTAGCATGACGGAAGTTTCCTGATTCTTGAATTTCCCCGCCTCAGGTGCCCTACATATTCCACCTTTCGAGTCGCCGGCGCAACAATTTTATCATTTCAGATGGTTGGTCAATGATCCCCACCTCCATCCCCTTCCGATAGATGCTTGGGGAGCCATATCGGAAGCAAATTACCCACGTGTAGATGATAAGCCCTAACAACACCGGGCTCTCGAAGGGCTACACATTCTTGTGCTGTGTTTGTAGCCGTCACAACATGAATAATCCCACAGGACATGATTCTTTCGGTGAGCGCTTCTAAAAAGCGCGAACAGAGGGACAGATGTAGTCGGTGGAGGGGGGGGGGGATGGGAGCACAACTACGATATCCCTTTCGCAGTCTTGTTGTGATTTCAGGGATGTTTCGTGCAGAACGCTGGTTGCGATCAGAGAAGATATCAGGTCTAAGACTTGGACGTGAGCAGAGCACGCCGTTCTCTGGGGACTCAGCGCAAGCGTATTTGGGCCCCTCCTGTCTGGCTGCAGTCACCCTTCCTGTGTGGCTGCAGTCAAAGTCCTATACAGCTACTATTTCAGATCTACAAGCTAGTAGTTGTTTGGTGGCGACCTCCCCCACTCCCAGTCCGGCGCCAGTCTTCGACGAAAACTGGGATATTTTTAGAACCTGGTAAAAAGGAAGGACCAGGCGTACCAGAGTTGGGAATCAAATGGCTGTATAGTAATTTGAAAATGTTTCCCTAGCGACAGGAAATACCCTGGCGACAAGGCAGCCAACATTAGAAGACAAGACATGACATGGCATTATTGAGGTGCCACTTTACCCCTCCCCCCTGGAGTAAGCCTTTTCCCTTGACAGGTTTCAAGTTTAGGCTGTAGAATGCTTGTAAAGTGACAGTCGAGGAAATGACACTCATTTCACTCAGAGGCTTATTCCAAAAAAATGGGTAATCTGGTGCGGTGCGTGGGAAGAAGGGGAGGGCGTGCCAAACGAGGTGAGAGGCCGTATCGGAGATCATGCTCGCCCTGCTTTATCTAGAGACGCGTACGCATCGTATAAGGGGACGTGCAGAGGTTTCGTGAAACTGCCTGATAAGCTACTACGAGCCCGTAACTCTACCGTATTGTAGATGGAATTAAGGCAAAGCCCGCGATCACTCGCCATCGCATGTAATGGATTAGGGGCTTACACAGAGACGACAAGGTGCTGAATAAGTCGATAGCTAAGAAAAAGTGGAAAAAAACATGCCAACTGCCCTAGATAGAACCCCATTTCGGTCCTATAGTTCGTGCGTGCCCAGTGCATCCCATCTCCACTTTACGCCCTCATCCGCACAGCTGATTCTCGATAGAACACTACGACCGTACAAGTGACGATTTTCATGCTTTTTCGTCCGGCAGCTTCGTTTTTTACTGAAAGGCAGGCCTCGAGGGCGGAGTCTGGAGGCGGAGTCACTGGGGAAAAGGAGGCGTCACTGAACCTATGTTGCGCTACAGCCTCCGTTACCATTTTTTTGCTGCGAAACCGGCACAAGGTTGTTCATCGCAGACCACGCTACCCTCTCAACTCCACATTTACAACGACTGTACCTGATCGCGAACCGTACCTTTGAAGGGTTCTCTGAAAATAGTGTCATCTGAGGTTTGATCCAAAACCGAAAAACCTACCTTGAAAGAGTAGAACAGAGGAAATTAGTACAATTTAATTCCTACCTTTTGAATTTTTGAAACCTTCAGCATTTATACTGTATATTTTTACAAATTTTGACGCTGCTATACACTGAGCCAATTGTGGTGGGTAACGATGAGCAAACAATGCTATGGTATACCCATTGAGCCGTACCTGAAAAGTATTGCTGAAATAGTCGAAGATTTGTCAGGTCATTAAAGTAAAGAGTACAAAGCAAAGCCTGATAAGTGGAGCTGATGGTCAGCCATGTCTTGTATCAAAAATGGAACAGGAACACAACATAATCAAATGTGACTCGTTTTTGGACCACAATTCTCTTTGAAGTGTTCATCAAGGGAAAATCAAAAGGCATCATTTATCAAACTGGCGTGCACAGTCGACAAGCCTAGCACGAACTACTACTTGTGCCCCTTAGCAGGCGCTGCGCGGTGCTTTTTCCATGCCGACCCAGACGCCCACCGGTAACTGCCCGCTCACAAAGAGGCCGCACAGTCGCATACATGCTCGTGCTCCTACCGTTTCATT